TTATCAACTTCCTGCCTGCCTACCTGCCTGTGTGTGTGTGCGTGCGTGTGTATTAAGGATGGTTTGAGAAGCCCTGGTGTGCGTGCGTGTGATTGTGTAAGGCTCCAGATATGAGTGTGAAAGGGATCTAGCGTGCCACCCTGCAAGGGGCCCAAGGGACTGTGTGTGGGACAGCGTCAGTGAGGTAGAAGTGTGTGTGTGTGTGTGTGTGTGTGTGTAGTTGGGTTGTTTAAAGGACCTCGGGTATGCGATCACAAGGCTGTGTGGCTGTGGTCAGCTTTCTGCTCGTAGACACCGTGTGTGCGGTAGAGTTGGGCTTTAAGTTGGAACCAATGATGTGAGACTTACGAGACCACGCACGGCTTCAGGCTGTGTCCCTGTGAAGCTGTGTGTCTAAACTCTGTGTCGCCAAGAGTGTGGCTGTGGTTATTTTTCTGCCTGTGGCACGGTGTGTGCTTGTGTGTACGTGGGACTGGGTGAGTGATAACGTGCCTGCGTGTGACTTTGATAGTGTGTTGCCATGAGGGTGCATGTGGCTGTGTGTGACTGTCAGGGGCTGGAGCGTGTGCTGGGATGGTGAGCCGTGGGGAGGTGTGCGTGAGTCTGTGAGTGTGGGGAGAGACTGGAGGGGTGACCATCACCGGCCAAGCCGCTCTGACTCGGCAGTGTGTGCAGTGAGCGCTTGCCCCAGGTGGAGGCTGGGTGAGTGCAGGAGACTGCGGCTGAGGGAAGGGATGTCCCAGTGAAGCCTGTATTGCTCAGTGGGACGGAGGAGGGGTGAGCGACAGGGAGGAGGAGGGCATCTGCATCCGGGTCAGTGTGATATGTGACTGTGGCTTCCATCCTGTCACTTGTGTGACTGTCATTATGGGTAGCTCCACAGATGAAGGGTCAGCTGCTCTGGGAATGGGTGAGAGTTGGGGAGACCGCCTGAGCCAGGTGTGGCTGTGGGGAAGCTGGGGGTGTCACTGTGACTTACCAGGGTGCTCAGGCCACTTGAGGGGTGGGCTTGTGAGACGTTCCAGAGCATTCAACTCAGCCCTATCAGAGGTGGTACGTGACCTTGGGGCAGGTCATGTCCATTGACAAAATCATGTAAATAACGATTGTGGATCAGGGGTTCCGCGGTGTAATGGTTAGCACTCTGGACTCTGAAGCCAGCAATCAGAGTCAGGAGCTCTGGTGGCGCAGTGCCTAAGACGCTTGACTGCTAACCAGAAGGCTGGCGGTTCAAGCCCACCAGCCATTCCTTGGAAGGAAGGTTGGGCAATCTTCTGTAGAGATACCGCCTTGGAAACCCAAGGAGGGGTCACTATGAGTCAGAGATGACTCAACAGTACATAATAACAACAACACAACGATTGTGGTAGTCAGATGGCTGTTGATGAGGTTGTGTGATGAGTTTCACGACGGCTTATGTGTGAGATGTCAGATTTTATGGATTTTCACACAGTAAAACGTACAAGTGCTGGAACCTTTGTAAGGTGGAAACCTGTCGGAGAATGAAAATGCAAATATTTTCCACTAATAGTGACAGGGGGAGCTCTGGTAGCATAGTGCCTAAGGCACTTGACTGCTAACCAGAAGGCTGCTGGTTCAAACCCACCAGCCACTCCTCAGAAGAAAGATGGGGCAATCTACTTCCATAGTGATACCGCCTCGGAAACCCAAGGAGGGGTCGCTATGAATCGGTCTGACTCGACAGCACGTAACAATTATGATAGGAGAGTGGTCACACTGCACCCTGTCAGAGGCGGAAAACTTCCAAGACCCAGAAAACCAGGCAGTCCTGTTGAGTTCTGGCTCTCACAGGGTTCGCTGTGTATGTGTGTATTTATGCCTCACACACACATACATACATACATGTGCGTGGGTGTGTACAGAGTCTGTGGGTGGCACAGTTAAACACGTGACTGCCAGCCAAAACACTGGAGGTTCAAACCCACTTGGAGGCGCCTCGGAAGATGGGCATGGAGATGTGTTTCCAGCAGGTTCCAGCCTTGGAAACCCCGTGGAGCAGTTGTGCTCTGCCCACGTGGGGTTGCTGTGAGTCGGCACTGACTCGACAGCGACCAGCAACAACGGGATTTGTGCAGCTGCTAGGGAGCCCCAGGCTGACGGGAGTCAGAAGTCCACGGTGCAGTCCACAGGGTCCACTCAACGCCCTTTCTGTGTGTATGTACGCCTCTCCCAGCCAGTTGCTTTGAGTTGACTCGGACTCACGGGACACCATGCGTGTCTGAGTAGAATGAGGTCCACAGGGCAGTCTGCTGGCTGATTTTTCCAAAAGTGGATCACCAGGCCTGTCTTCTGAGGCACCCCTGCATGGACTTAAACTCGCAACCTTTCCGTTTGCAGCCGAGCACCCTCAAGGTTCCACCACCTCTAAGTGTGAGTGACTGTGAGTGTACAAACAGGTTCTCACCCTGCTGGGCTCCTGGGGGGCACCTTGGCTCCAGAGAAGGGTCCCTGAAAGGGTGTGTGTAGAACCTATGGGACCACCTCCTCTGTGTGGTCACAGCTATCTGTGCTGCGGTAACTAAGTCTGAGGTCAGGGGCCATTTGCACAGATGTGTCTGTGGCTCTCTGTGTGGACCTGTGGGTGTGTGACGTGGAGACGTGTGTGTGTGTGTGTGTGTGTGGCTGTGCAGGGAAGGAGGTGGGGGAGCATCTGGGAATTGGGGGAGCTGGTGTCAGGTCCGTGTGAGTCCTGGGATCCGTGTGTATGTGCAGGAGGCACTGGGCAGGTAATGGGGGGTTGGCTGCTTGTGGGGCCGTGAGTGTGAATGAGTGTGCATGTCCAGCCTATACGACTATGAGACCAGAAGAACTAGATGGTGCCCGGCTACCACTGTCAACCACTTGGAGGGGAATCTATGTAGGAGATCCTGGATAGAGAGGGAGAACAATGTAGAACAAAACTCAAAATCATTTGGGAAAAAAAAGGGGGGACCAGGTTTGCTGGTCTGATAGAGCCTGGTGGAACCACTGAGACTATGGCCCCTAGCTGCCCTTCTGGTCTGGAATTGAACCCACTCCTATGGCTGGACAAAAGACAGGCATATGAGTTGAACATTTACCTGAGGTAGATAACATGCCTTGGAGAGAACAATCCTGGGAGAAAGAGGGACTGTGTATGCACAGGGAGACAGCTCAGCGGGCAGGAGGGCATGGAGGGATGGACACAGGCAAGAGGTTAACTATCGGGAGGAAGTGGGAGGGGAGCTGTTGCATTGTGGGAAACTGTAGTCAATGTCATGAGACAAAGTGTATGTGAGCCGCTGTATGGAAAGTGAATTTGCTCTGTAAATTTTCACCCAAATCACAATTAAAAAAAAAAAAGTGTGCGTGTCATGGAGATGAGTATGGAGGTGCAGGTGACGGTCTGAATGTGTGGGACTTGGGTCTGTTTTCTGAGCTGAGGGACATGACCAGGAGGGAGAGAGCTTCTGTGAGTGTTGGCTGTGATTTGAGAGGAGACTAAGTCTTTCTGTTGGTTGTGTTTCCAAGAGGGAAGTGCATGTGTGTTATTTCTGAGAGAAGACTAGGTGTGTGTGTTATACGTGTTAGTGTGCTGATTAGGTTGTTCTAAAAGGGGCGTGTGTGAGTGTGCATCAGCTTACACTGTACTTTTAAGAGTGGTGTGTGTGTGTGTGTGTGTGGTATTTACTAGAGGAGAATGTGCATGTTGCCTTGTATTTGAAAGAAGGGAGAATGTGTGTTGAGTTGTATTTCTGAGAGGAGTGTGTGTATGTGTGTATGTGTGTTGTGTTGCATTTCAAAGAAGAGAAGAAAGTGTGTGTGTGTGTTGAGTTGTATCTGAGAGATGGATGTGTATGTATTGTATTTGAAAGAATACAATAGCCCCATTGACACAGGGCTGGGCCCACAGCTCCCCAAATGTCCTCAGGGTTCCACAGCACCCCAAAGAACCCTGTACCCCTCTAAAGAACCCCACAGCCCCTGACCCTCTGCAGAGCCCCACAGCCCCCCGAAGAACCCCTAATCCTCCGTGTTGAGGTGTGTTTCTGAGAGTGTGTGTGTGAATTGCATTATATTTCTGACAGTGCACTGATACGTTGAGAGGTATTTCTGAGAGGCGTGTGAGGGAGTGTGAGTCTGTGTGTACATGAGGGTCCCAGAGGCACCACAGTTAGGTATCTGTGACCTTGTCACCCACATGAAGTATCACACGTGAGACTCTCACCCAGTAGGACTTGGGCTTCAGACCCTCGGCTGGCACATGGCCACTGGGACATCCACAAACCATGGCTGCCACACGTGTGTCCCAACTGGCCCTGGACCGGCGGGGCCTGTCTGTGACGGAGGACAGAGCCCCCTGCTCCCTCAGGGACGCTCAGCTCCTCAGGCCCCGGGAGCCGACGTTTGGGGCTCCCCTAACCACCTCCCAACCCAGAGTCTCCTTCCAGCGCTCTAGCCCCTCACCCCCCCACCCCTAGTTGTCTGACTGGTTCCCAACAAAAACACCCTGAGAATGAGCTCACGGGGAGGCTGCCGCCTCCACATGCCCCGCCCTGAACGCCCAGCAAGGAGGGTGCCTCCAGACCTGGTCACACGGCCTGACTTCTGGGTGAGGGTCTTCTGGGTCCTTGGGGTGGGGAGAGCTGGCCAGGTGAGCCAAGGGCAGGTGTGGGGGCCTTGAGACACCTGCGTGCTGTCTCTTGGTTAGTTACACGTGTGGGGTTTGGGGAGTTGTCTCCTGGGCAGGGCCCTGACAGACAACGCTGCACTGGCCTGGCTGGGGAGGGCGTGGTGGCAGGGGCCTGGCTGGGACAGGGAGAGGTTGGCGCAGGGGATGCTGCTGGTGGGCTGGCCACGGAGCCAGGGGGCTGGCTGGGATAGGCAGGCAGTGTGAGAAGGCAGGAGGCTGGCTGGGACGGGGAGAGGTTGTGATGGTGGGGGTACCCTGCCTGCTGTGGGTGGCCATGGAGGGAGGGGCTGGCAATGACTCCCCAATGTCGGCTGTCCCAGGAGCAGCCATGTCGGTGCAGGTGGTGGTCCCTGGAGACACGGGGCTGGGCCCAGAGCGCCTGAGCCCGGAGGAGCTGGTGCGGCAGACGCGGCAGGTGGTGCAGGGGCTGGAGGCGTTGCGGGCGGAGCACCGAGGCCTGGCTGGGCACCTGGCTGAGGCCCTGGCGGGACAGGGCCCGGCGGCCAGCTTGGAGCTGCTGGAGGAGAAGCACCAGGTGGTGAGCCACTCGCTGGAGGCCATCGAGCTGGGGCTGGGCGAGGCGCAGGTACGGGGCAGGGCCGGGGTGGGCTGGATGAGGGTACGGGGCAGGTACGGGGCAGGGCCGGGGTGGGCTGGTGCAGGTGTGGGGGCAGGGCAGGGCCAGGGTGGGCTGGATGAGGGTATGGGGCAGGTGTGAGGGCAGGGCTGGGGTGGGCTGGGCGCAGCTACAGGGCAGGGCTGGGTGGGCTGGCGCAGGTGTGGGGGCAGGGCTGGGGGCAGGTACGGGGCAGGGCTGGAGCAGGCTGGGTGCAGGTATGGGGCCAGGGCTGCGGTGTCAGGCCTGGGGTGGGGGAGGCCCAGCTATAGGTTCACGAAAGAGGGGCAGGTCTGGGAGGGGTCCATGTGTGCAGAGGGAGGCAGCATTGGGGGTCGTCATGCTGGACTGGGGAGGCCCCTGGTGGTTGCCAGTAGGTGGTCCAGTTGGTATGCGCTCAACTCCCAATGTGAGGTTGGTAGTTCAAAGCAGTGGTGGTCGGAAGGCGGCCTGGTGAGCTGCTTCTGTGGAGATTATAGCCAAGAGAATTCCAGGGGCGGCTCTGCCTGTAACACATGGGGGTGTTGAGTCCTGGTAGTTTTGGATTTTGTGCCTGATAGGGAGCTCTGGTGGTATAATGCCTAAGGCACTTGACTGCTAACCAGAAGGCTGGCAGTTCAAACCCACCAGCCACTCCTCGGAAGGCAGATTGGGCAATCTACTTCCGTAGTGATACTGCCTGGGAAACCCAAGGAGAGGGGTCCCCCTGAGTTGAATGTAACTCGACAGCAGTTGAGCTTGTTTTTTTGTTTGTTTGTTTGTTTTAGGGACCCCTGAATCACATGGGGTCCCTCTGCAGATCTGTGGGTGCTGGGGAGACTATGGCATTGCTTGGGTCGACCAGGAAGTGCCCCTGAACATGATTTGTGGCCGGGTGACATCCAGGGGTCCCTGGGCAGGAGCTGTTTCCCTGAGGGTGTGCAAGCATCTGTCGAGCCCCAACTGGAGGGGGTTTGTGCAGAATCTAGGGTGACCTGGATAGAGTTGGGGTGCTCTGGCCCTGAGCCCCGACTGCACCCGCACCCGGCAGGTGCTGCTGGCGCTGTCGGCCCACGTGGGCGCACTGGAGGCCGAGAAGCAGCGGCTGCGGGCGCAGGCCCGGCGGCTGGCCCAGGAGAATGTGTGGCTGAGGGAGGAGCTGGAGGAGACGCAGCGGCGCCTGCGGGCCAGCGAGGAGGCCGTGGCCCAGCTGGAGGAGGAGAAGAACCACCTGGAGTTCCTGGGGCAGCTGCGGCAGTACGACCCGCCCTCAGAGAGCCAGGTGGTGCTGGGCCCAGTCCCCACCCTCCTTAGAACTCCCGCCCCAAGCTCCTGACCTTCCACGGAACCCCCTGACTCTCCACAGAGCCTCATAACTCCCCTTCTGCAGGGTCCCACAGCCCCCCCAAAGAACCCCATAACCCTCCACAGAGCCCCACAGCCCCCTGACTCTCCACAGAGCCCCACAGCTCTCCAACTGTTCTCAGGGTCCCACAGCCCCTCAAATAACCTCTTGACCCTCTGCAGAGCCCCATAGCCCCCCCCAAAGAAACCCCTAACCCTCCACAGAGCCCCCCAGAAACCCCGACTCTCCACAGAGCCCCACAGCCCCCCAAAGAGCCCCCAACCTACCACAGAGCCCCATGGCTCCCCAAAGAACCAACCCCCTGACCCACCACCGAAGTCCACAGCCCCCCACCTCTGCAGAGCCCTTGTCCCTCAAACCCTCCACAGAAACCCCCATGAGCCTTTGCAGAGTCCCACAGCCCCAAGACCCACCAGAACTTCCCAGTAACTGCTCCACAAAGCCCCCAGATCTCCCCCAGGCCCCAGGGGATTCCCAAGACTCAAGGCCACCGCCCCCCTCAGCCCTGAGGTACAGGACCTCTGGTCTCTGCAATTAACTCCCACCCCTCGTGACGCCCCACTTTTCGGCCTCCCCTCAACAGCCCGAGTCCCCGCCTCGCCGCGACAGCCTGGCCTCGCTGTTCCCCAGTGAGGAAGAGGAAAGGAAAGGTGTGTGTGAGAGGGCAGAGGCTGGGGAGGTCTGATGGCTTGACCCCAGGGCGCTGAGCAGGGGTGAGGAGGTCAGGAGGAGGAAGTAGGAAACTGCGGGCGGGGTGATAGCGAGAGGGGAGGCTAGAGGCCAGAAGGCCAGACAGGGGGCCATGGACAGTGCCCCAGGGCAGGTGGGTGGCTGTGACCACAGTCCCCCAAGGCAGGTGGGCCACCATGGTGCCCAGGGGTCCGAAAGGCCATGCTGGTAGTCATGTGTACATCTCACTGGGCGGGTGGGTGGCTGTGGCCTTGGGCTCCCGGCCAGGTGTGGCCACAGGCCAGGACACATCCTCGGACCCGCGGGGTGGCTGTGATCCCAATTTGACTCAGTGTAACGGCTGTCCTGGGGCATTCGGGCAATGAGGCCGCTGTCGCCTAACCCTCACCCTCACCCCAGTTCTGGGATACGGGTGTCCCCAGGGGTGCATGGGCTGGAGGGGAGGGAGGCCTGCCCTGAGTGTGACCCACGCCCCCAGGTCCCGAGGCGGCAGGGGCTGCAGCAGCCCAGCGGGGCGGCTATGAGATCCCAGCCCGCCTCCGGACCCTGCACAACCTCGTGATCCAGTATGCGGGGCAGGGCCGCTACGAGGTGGCCGTGCCGCTGTGCCGCCAGGCCCTGGAGGACCTGGAGCGGAGCTTGGGCCACGGCCACCCAGACGTGGCCACCATGCTCAACATCCTGGCGCTGGTGTACCGGTGAGGGGGCAGCCCTGTGGGCGTGCGGGGGCACGGAGGATGGGGCAGCAGCCCGCTCTGCCCGCGTGGGGCACTGGGGTGGCGGTGGGCAGGGGGCACAATGAGAGAGGGCGATGGGGGGGGAGCAGAGATCCAGGAGGTAACTGAGACCCCTCTGCAGATCCCCGTAACCCCCAGGCCTCCAGAGAACTCCCCGACCCTTCATAGATGCCCACAGCCCCCATCCCACAGAGGTCCCCCAGATGCAAAAGAGAGAGGAGTCAGAGCCGGGAATAGACTCCAATGTGGGGGAAGACACTGGAGCAGGGGAGACCTGGGGGGACCCTGGGAGGTGGGGACCCGGTGAGAAGACCGGGAAGGTCCTGTCCAGACCCTCCTGGTCAAGCCCCTCACCCCTGTGACCCCCACCCCCACCCCAGGGACCAGAACAAGTACAAGGAGGCCACGGACCTTCTGCAGGACGCCCTGCAGATCCGGGAGAAGACGCTGGGCCCCGAGCACCCGGCGGTGAGCAGGGGGTGGGGGAACCCGGGAAGAAGGGCCTTCCCATGTCTGACCTGTGACCTCCCCCTGCAGGTGGCCGCCACCCTCAACAACTTGGCAGTCCTCTACGGGAAGCGTGGGCGCTACCGGGAGGCGGAGCCCCTGTGCCAGCGCGCCCTGGAGATCCGAGAGAAGGTGCCACCCCCGCCCAGCCCTCGCCAAGCCCCCAGGCTCGGGTTCAGGGCCCTCAAGGCCACATGACCCTCCGTTTGTTTCTGTAGAACTTGACCCATGGCCCTCACACTGGGGCACGGACGCCTTGGGCCCCAGTGTGTCCCCATGGCCACTGACAGTTTGCACCCCTCACCCCCATTTGAGTTTACATCACCCAATCCCGTGACCTGTGAACTTCCTGCCTGATTTTGACTCCTGACCCTGGAATTCCTTTAGAACTCACCTCATGCCCCAACCTGGGTCTGACCTTCTGACCAGTGACCAACAACCCCCCCAACTTTCATTCACCTCTACCTGACCCTGTGTCCCATGTCTCTGAACCACCATGACCTCTGACCTCAGCAACGCCCCAGCTGGACGGCGCAACCTCTGACCCCCAACTTCACGTACCTTCCTACTTTGCCCCTATCACACCTAACTCGGAACACCCAGTAGGACTCCTGACGCCAGTGGGGTCACCAGCCTCGTGTGACCCCCAGGTCCTGGGCGCCAACCACCCGGACGTGGCCAAACAGCTCAACAACCTGGCGCTGCTCTGCCAGAACCAGGGCAAGTTCGAAGAGGTGGAGCAGCACTATGCCCGCGCCCTGAGCATCTACGAGGCCCTGGGCGGGCCCCACGACCCCAGCGCGGCCAAGACCAAGAACAACTTGGTGAGGGCGCCACGGCGCACGCAGGCTTCTGGTCAACCACCCACCTGCTCACCAACCCCCCAACGTGTCCACCCACAGCCTCAGCCAGAAACCCCCCTTAGGCCGGGGGTGTGGCTGGGATGGGCCTGACCCCACTCGGTACTAGACGGAGGGTGGGATACTGCAGAGACCAGGAGCCTTGACATCCACTGGGGTCTTGAAGCGTCTTGTAAGATGAGGCTTCAGAGCTAGGCCCCCACTGGTGAGGAGGCCACAGTCTGCTCAGCACAGAGCAGCCAATAGAACGTTCTCTGTGGAAGCGCGAGAAAGGACCCCACCAAGTTCACGTCCAGCGGCTTCAAAGGAGAGGCTGGCCCAACCAGCTGAGAATCAAAACGTTTACTGAGTTTACACTGCAGGCCAGACCCCTTCTTAGCAGGTCCCCTGTACAATCCCATGTATTTCTCACTGCCCCCCCATGAGGCAGGAGCTATTGTTGCTCCCTAATTTGCAGACGAGGAGACTAAGGCACAGAGAGATTGAACCAGTGCCTTAAGGGCTCAGAGACAGGAAGTTACCTGGCTTAGGTCGCCCAGCCAGGAAATGGTGGGGCCAGAATTCAAACCAACACAGCTAAAGGGGTGTAGGAGCCTGGCCTGCTTCTCCAGGGCACTGGGCGGGGGGGGCACGGTCAGGTTCGTGTTTGGGAAAGACGTGCCTGGATTCTGCGGGAGCATGTGGGGCTGGAGGGAGGGTGTCTTGGATGTTGCTAGATTTGAGCCCCAATCACACTCCCTGTCTCCCCTCAGGCCTCAGCCTACCTGAAACAGAACAAGTACCAGCAGGCAGAAGAGCTGTACAAAGAGATCCTCCGGCGGGAGGACCTGCCTGCCCCCCTCGGTGAGCCCCCGCCTGCGCCCACCCTCCCAGGAGGCTCCTCAAGCCCCCTCCTACCTCCATGTCCCCCATCTGTCCCCCAGGAGCCCTCAGCACGGGCCAAGCTGGAGACACAGACCAACAGGTGAGACCAGGCTTTGCTTCAGCTCCGGGGTGAAGGCGGGGTCTGGGTGGGGTGCCGACTGACCTGCTTCCGGCACCCCCAGGGGACCGGGTGGGATGAGGACTGACCAAGTCCTGGCTCCCCAGGCCCAGTCATCAGCTCTAGGACGCAGACAGGGCCTGGGTGGGAGGGGGACTGACCACATTCCAGAACCCCGGGCCCTGTTATTCAGCTCTGGGGTGGAGATGGGGACTGGGGGGCAGAAACTGACTTGGGTCTCAGGACCCCCAGGCCCTCCGTCGCAGCAGTTCCTTCTCCAAGCTCCGCGAGTCCATCCGGCGGGGAAGCGAGAAGCTGGTCTCCCGGCTCCGAGGTGAAGGGATGGCGGGTGCAGCCGGGTGAGTGTTGGATCTGGTGACACGTGCAGGGCTGCAGCCCCCTCCCCCAGAACCTTCCATGGCCCCCTTCTCCACTGTGGTACACACACATCACACCCGGTGGTGGGCAGCCTGGAATTCAGTGTGTATCACTTCCCATCCCCACAGGATGAAGAGAGCCGTGTCGCTCAACGTGCTGAATGTGGATGGCCCGAGGGCTTCTGGGGCTCAGGTGCGGGCAACAGGGATGCCTGGGCCGTGCAGGCCCAGATGAGGAAGAGTGGGGACAGTCTAGCCTTGGGCGCTCAGGGGTGGGAGCAGCCTTGAGGGCAGAACTCAGGGGTTACAGGTGGGGTACAGCCAGGGGGATGGACAGGTTGTCATCAGGCTGGATGTGGGGCCGGGGGATGAACAGTACGGCCATATGCTGGCAGTAGGGTGGCCTAGAGGGCAGGCTGGTGGTTATGGGCGCAGGAGGGTGGAGTGGACACAGGAGTGTGGGGAAGGCCGAGGACAGGGGTGGCTTCAGGAGCAGGCGAGCGGACGTGGGGGTTGGGGGTGGCACGGCCACAGTAGCAGTGGTGTAGAAGTGTGCCCTGTCCCCAGTCCCCCAGCCAACACCTGAGCGAGGCCTCGAGGACCCTCAGCGCCAGCACCCAGAACCTGGGCCGCCGCTAAGAAGAGACCACGGCTGCTGCAGCATCTCAGGAACTGCAGGGCCAGGGTGGCAGGGAGCCCCTCCTCATGGCCTCACTCGCTCCCTCCCATCACCCACTGGGCTCCCCCGCTGCCCTTCTCTCCTGCGATTAAAGGCGGTCCATTTGGCAACAAGGCACGTGTGTCTGAGATTTCCCGCGAGGTCCTTTGAGCTCCTCCTGGGGCACCGGGACCGAGACAGGAGCTGCAGGCCCGCCTGCTCACAGCTGCTGCGCGATCTGCTCGATCCTCCGCAGCGTCTCCTCCGACTGCAGCTGCTCCAGGCTGAGCAGGGACAGGCCCAGCTGATCCTCCTGCAGGGGCAGAGCCCAGGGGTCACCAGGGGACAGCCGCCGCCCTTCCCGGCTACCCTGGTGGGGACACAGGGCCCAGCAGTTATAAGTGAGGGCTTGTGTGGGGACCACGGAGCAGAATGTCTGAAATGGGACCATCCCGTGGAACTCAGTCTACGTCTCTGTAAACAGGACGCAGACCCTGGGGAGGGAGGCGGTAGCCAGAGACAGGCGTCTGGAGGCTGGCACAGAACCCTTCCTCTGGAAGGTGTGCTGACTCCTCCTCACCCCAAATCCTCTCCTCCTCCCACCTCTTCGGGGCAACCCCCCCCCCAATTCAGCACACGTGTGTCTTTGGCCCTCGAATCTCCCTTGGGTTCCCAGGCCCTGCATGTAGGTACACACTGAGCTCCCTGTGAGGGGCAGGACGACAGGCCATAGGGCTGTGGGGAGAAATCCAAGAGGGCTGCCTGGAGGAGGGAGCAAGTGCAGGGCTGCCTAAGCTCACCCGGTGGAATGGCTGTGCCATCTGTCTCAGGAAGTACTTGGCCACCTGGACACCCTCATCCACGGTCAGGTTGAGGTTGGCGTCCGTGAGGTGCTCCTGGATCCAGCGGGGCAGCTTCCCCCGCTTGTCCGCCCGGGCAAACCGCTGTGCGCAGGAGGGGGACGTCAGGGGAGCCTGGCTCCCCCTCGGCCCCCGCCCCGTCTGTAAAGCGACTGGGCAAACAGCCTAGTGCTTGGGAGCTGGTGGGGGTGCACCTTGTCAGCAAAGACCATGAGCCCGTAGTCAGTCTTGCCCCGGATGGCGCGGCCGACACACTGGGCCGCGTGCCGCATGGCGTCGAAGGTCAGGAAGTCGTTCTCGCGGATCTGGAACTGGTCCCGCAGGTACTCCAACCGTGCCTGCCCGCAGGGATACACACGGACAGTGGGGGCGCCGCCCCTCCCTCCCCTGTTCCAGCCTAGTGCCGTGAGGAGAACCCCGAGACAGGCCCCAGGTGCTGCTCACCTTGAGAATACGGCTCTGGGTGTAGACATAGGGGACCCCAAACATGATGACAGCCCGCCCGTAGTGGTGCACTAGGGGCAAGGGAAGAGCGAGGAGGGGTTACAAGTGGACGACTGGAGGGGCAACACGTGGGCTGAGAGGATGGGGAGCCGGCAAGCGTGGGGAGAGTGGGGGTGCCCTAGGGGCCCCAGGTTGCAAGCGAGAGCCCCGCTCATGCCAGGTCGTGGGTGGCTGGCTCTTTGGGGGAGTAGTGAACTGGGCTTCCAGAAAGCCCCACGCAGGGGACAGGGCTGGGCGAGCCTGGCCCACTCACCAAAGTCGATTCCCTCAGACACTTTGCCCCGGGCCACGGACAGCAAGATGGCTCCACGGCCGTTCTCACAGGCCTGGGGAGGGGCCACATGTCACTGGGAGCTGCCTCCTTGGGCCACCCAGGCCAGTCTTCCAGTGCCCCCCCCCAGCCCACCTCCTGGTACTTCTCCAGGGCAACGCTGGTCTCGGCCCCATCCTGGGTTTCAATGAAGAGCAGCTTGTTCCTCTGCACGTTCTCGAGGATGCCCTGGGAAGCATCAGCGGGGAGAGGGTTTGGGATCGGCACAGCAGACACGGCATGGTCTTCCCGGATCAGCCCAACTCTGCCACAGACTCCCGCCAACGGACCATTTTTCTGTCTGGGCCTCAATTTCCCATTGCACCCATGGGTTGGGGACAGGGGTGGGCTGTGGAACTGTCCAATCTCACTTCTTTTGGGAAGTGGGGAACCAGTAACTGCACCCCACCTCCTGGGCAAGTGGCACAAGCGGATCAGTCAGGGCACTCCACCTCCTGATTGGTAAAAGGGCTGACCAGGAGCCAGGCAGAGCCAATCAGAGACTGCCCTGAGAGTTCCTACATAACACTGCAGGGCTTACTCCAATGCTGCAGTTCACTGAGACGATGTGGTACTAACACAAGGACAGACACACAGACCAGTGGGACAGAGCAGAGGGCAGAGGGTCCAGAAACATACACGTGGGCAGTCACCTACAGTGCAGTGGGGAAGGTCTTTTCAGTAAATGGTGCTGGAGCACCTGGATGTCCATATGGGCAAAGTGAACCATAAGCCTTTCCTCACACCATAACCAAAGAACGTGAGGGACCTCCCAGACCTAAATGTGAAAGCTGAAACTACAAAGCTGTTACAAGAAAGCACAGGAGGCTGCCTTCGGGACCTTGGAGCAGGTAAAAATTTCTCAAAGTAAACACCAAAGGCACTCAGGATATGGGGCTCGTGGGGCCAGTGGTCGTATCTCCCACTGTGTGGAAAGAGTCCATCTGAGGACAAGGCCGAGGTCTATGTCAGGAGCAGATGAGGTTCCAGCCCACTGCATTCCCTCATCCCTCACTTCACCTCCAAGAAGTGTCTGCTTTGACCATCCCCCCAAGCACTGGGGACGTGGTGAGCCCAGAGAAAGGGCCGAACAGCCCACTCCCCGTCCACATCCTGCTGGTCGCCCAGCGCCCACTGTGGGGAGCCGTTCCAGGACGCCCCGACCCCCACGTGCTTCCCCAGAAGGGGCTTCCATGGACTCGCCAGAGTTCTGCCCGACTTCCCCGGAATCTTCCTTCAACAGCTAGCTTGCTGCCCAGTTTTTCCACACCCAACCGCATGTGCTGAAGGGGTAGTTACAGGGGTAACCCCATAAAAAGATGAGAGGGGACAAGGAACCCAGAAAGTAGGTGTGAGGGTTAAGTTTGTGTGTCAACTTGGCTGGTTGAGTGGCTGGGCAGCTGGATGCAGTATTCCCCATGATGAGACTGGTTATCAACTCCATGGTGGAATCTACTGGGAGCAGCTAAGTAGCTGCCTTTGGGTATGTGGTCTGCTTCCTGTATATAAGGAGAAGCCTTGGGGAACGGTCTCTAGCTCATGGCATGCTTGAATCTCGCATGTAGCCGTGTGGTTCAGCAGCCTGCCATGCCCTGCTGACCTTGGGATTTTCAGTACACTTCACAGCTTGCCGTGTGGTTTGCTAACATCAGGACTGTGCCTTTTTACTTGTCAACCTTGGGCTCGTCAGCCTCAGCAGCCAGCAGCTGTCTGAGTGAAGAAACGCCTCCAGCTCCAGCCGGCTGGGAGCAGGAGGCAGAGCTGCCAGAGGCTGCCAGTGTCTTGTTTTTGAGCCTGACTTAGGGGGGCACAGTGGCCACAGGGGTGTACGTCACTAATTCCTTATACTGTTTGCGTGTGTTTTATACGCCGTGCTGGTCTATAGGAGACATGATTTCACCACAGAAAAAGACTGAAAACAAAGCCAGCACACAGAGGAACAGAGCCCAGGGCTGAGGAGAGCGGAGCCTTTCCAGGGAGTGGGCAGTGGGGTGGGGACGCACCTGCTCGTACCAGGAGGCCACGGTGCTCTCCATGTACTGGTAGCTGGTGAAGAAGGCCACGATGCCGTCGGGGACCACGGCAGACATCTCCAGCAGGAGGTTCCCATAGTTCCGGATCACCGCTGTGGGGGGTCAGAGGTCAGCCACTCCTGGCTGGAACGTTCCAGTCTAATGCTATCTGATCCCCACTGAGGCTGCCTGGAGGGCTGTTCACAGGCATTCCACATCTCTTCCTTCCAGGCCTGTGGGAGGGCCCCCTCCCTGCCCCCTGCCGAGCCACGTGACTTGCCACAGCCAGGGAAACAAGTGCAGAAGTGGCCACGTGTTACTTCTGGGGTAGTGTGTAGCTATACCTTAACCATGTCACCATGATGCCACCCTTGATGTCACGCTGCCTTGGGGTTAATGGACTAAACTGTGTCCCTCAAATATATGTGTTGCAAATCCTAACCCCTAGAGCTGTGGGTATAAGACCATTTGGGAATGGGCTGTCTGTGTTATGCTAATGAGGCAGGATTAGCATAGAATGTGCCTTTAGTCAGTCTTTTCTGAGATATAAAAGAGATTAAACAAGCGAGCAGGGCAGAGTTGGGGGGACGGAGATGCCACATGGCAATCTCCAAGGAACCAGGAAACGGGACCCTTTCCCAGAGTCGAGAGAGAAGCCTGCCCCCCCAGAGCCAGCACCTTGAACCCAGGCTTGTAGCCTCCTCAACTGTGGGAGAAGAGATTCTGCTTGTTCAAGCCACCCCGTTACAGTGTTACTGTTACAGCAGTACTAGGGATAAGACACTCGGTGATGTGCCCCACGGCAGGGATTCCCACAGCGAGATTTGTGCTATGGGCGAGAAATACACCTGTGTGTCACAGCTGAGAGCAGAAGGTGTTTTTACCACAGTCGGACTGGGGCCCATACTGACCAGTGCCCTCCCCTCTCACAACTCGTACAGACCACCCCCATGGCCAGCATACCGATATCTTCCCGCGTTTCAAATTTGGAGCTGATGGCCACCTGGTCGTTGCCACGGCCAATGATCTGGAGTGAGCAAGAGAGACCATCATAAGCAAAGCAGCAGCAAAGGTGCCAGGCGTGGGAGCCAGTCACACACCAGTGCTGTTCTCTGCTTCACAGGGACATGAGCTCCCTGGAAGAGCCCTTGGGTACCCTGTGACCTGTACTGTCAAGAGGAATGAACAGAGAAGGCGAGTCACCTGCCCAGGGTCACACAGCAAAATAAACAGCAGAGATGGAATCGAACCCGGGTCTGTCTATGCCCTTAACCAGCATGCTATGCTCCAGCTGA